AGAGAGAGAGAGAGAGAGAGAGAGAGAGAGAGAGAGAGAGAGAGAGAGAGAGAGAGAGAGAGAGAGAGAGAGGAAACAACATTGATAAATGCTGTGGGATTGAGGGTAAGAACAAGTGGAAGGGACTATGGGGTGAGGAGAGAGAATAGTCTTTCACGCACCTCTTTCAGCTGGGTGATTTCTTCCTTGAGCGTAGCTGTCGCCTCCGCTACAAGTTCATCAAGATGGCCAAACTTCTCTTCAATTTGGAGAGCGGTTTCTGAGGAGGGGATCAAGCTTGAGACTTGGTTGATATTGTCGATGTAATCTAAAGCCTTTATGATTGGCAGACAAAGGGAACAGCATTCGATCAATTTAGATGCCATCGACAAAATGCAGAGTACCATTTAATCAATGCAAGACAAGAAATGGAAACGACAAAATGCAGAGTACCATTTAATCAATGCAAGACAAGAAATGGAAAGATTATCACTCTAGGAAAGCATTATCAATAAGCAAAAATCCATCTAGAGCATAACATCTGTACCTCTTGAGTCCCAAGTTCTCCTACCACTTGTCTGACAGCAAATGTATCCGTAACAGTGTTGGACGGAACTACCTACCTTATAGGCTTATCCTTAATTCTGCCCAACCCCTTCTGGTATCAGGAGGGGTTAGAGACCTTTATTCATCCATAGGAGTGTTTGATAGAATTATTTCTGGTAAACAGTGGCGGGTAAGGAACCATCGGCAGCAGCACCGACCAGCAGGGTTTTCCCCACATTGTTGAGTTCCGGGACGTCCCCAAACTCCCGTGAGACAACCGTGAGGACTCATAGTGAGATCTCTTTGAGAATGGGGCTTGTATATGCCATTCTCAAAGAGAACTATTTCCGGCAGTTCGTGATTCTATGCCTATTTGCGGAAGTTGTGCGCTGCCCAAGTCCTTGCTGTAGTCAGCTGTCTGTGGTGCTTTTTTTTCACGTGCTGAACTTGGAGGCGTAGCTCGGTAAGTTGGCTACACCAGACACGCACGTACGTAGATTGTTGTAGGGACAAGCTCATAAATTTTCATCAGACTTCTGGACCGGGATTCTCACCTGAGGACCGTGACTGGATCTTGGATCCATAGGGGAGGTGATCTGCAATTTGGAAGCCTTACGGGGGGGGGGGGTAGCACTGGCACTTTGCTTAGCATACAGACATATGAGCAAAATAGGATGGGTAGCTAGGCTACCAGCCGGGCTGCCCGGGTCACCCTGTTTTCCCGGGCGGCCCGGCCGTGCAAGGACCAGGGATGGTTCCAGCAAACAAAAAAACAAAAAAAACAAAAACAAAAAATCCAAAAAAATTGAAAAAATACGGAAAACAAATTATGTTATGCAGAAAAATAAACTGAACAACTTTAAAAAAAAAAAAAAAA